TATTGAAAAAATTTGCATATAAGTGGACCTGTGCAGTTCAAAGATCAACTGTTTATGTGTTTGTTTCTTTTTTTGTTTTTTTTCTTCCTTGACACAAGGAGACAACTGTTTATGTGTTTGTGTAATCATATTCAAGTATAATATTCCAGATGGCTGAGTAAATGTGACCAATTCTTTCCACACCATATATGCTTATACTTGTTGCTTTAATTTGTTTCTACGCCTTTTTTATAAGGGGGTATTTCTTTTGGAAACATTGTCTTTTCCTTTCATAGGCTATGTATACTTTCTGGTGAAAATATACTACGTCACAGGGATTAGGGATAGTGAGATTGAGGGATTGGGAGGGAGATGTATGTGCTTATAAAAGGGCAACCCCAGGGACCCTTGTGATGGAACTGCACTGTAGCTTGACTTTGGTGATGGATGCAAAGTGTTACACACATGTGATAAAACTGCATAGAACTAAACACACACACACACACACACACACACACACACACACTCTCTCACATGAATACAAGTAAAACTGGGGAAACCAGAATAAGATAGGTGAATTGTATCAATGTTAATATTCCATCTGTGATACTTTGCTATAGTTTTGTAAGATGTTACCATTGGGAGAAACTGGGTAAAAAGTATACAAGATCGCTGTTATTTCTTTCAATTGGATGTGAATCTACGCTTATCTCAAAGCGAAAGTTTCGATTAAGAATAAAAGAAATTTAAAGAAGTCTATGTTGAAAGATAATGGTTTAACACATGTAGCTATAGGAAGCACGTTGGTGTATCATTTTGTGGAACATGACTTTCCATTTACAATCAAAGGATGCTCTACTAAATAGATTTTACTAATTTTCTATTTCAAGTTTTCTTGTGCATGTACGCAAGGTAAAGCAATAGCTGTGGTGTGTTGTCTTCATTAGCAGAAGAAGAACTTTGCAAACACTTAAGTGATGCCAATTTTATATCTGTCTCATCTGTGTCAAATAGAAAATCAGTTAATTCTAATAAAGGTTCAATATTTTCATACAATTCATGGAATCAAAGTAAAGTTTTTGAAAGTTCATTGTGTCAAAGAAGAAATATTCAATATTGTGAATGCTACTGTAAATTAATATAAAAATTCAACATTGAAGAAAATGCTGTTTTTTAAGTAATAATATGAATATTAAGGTTAATGGAACATAGAGTCACGGTTAAAACAACGATCTTACTATTAATATATTAAGAAATTCAGTGTAGCAGAAAATGTATTTAGAATTAGTTGTAGCACATTCATAATTCATCATTGCATCTAAACAAGCTTAGTATTCTACCAGTAAAATAACTGTAATTTTCAAAACTTACAAGTACTTTTATATGTATTTTTATGTATATTTTATATACAGTATTTTAACTAGAAAATTTTTGTGATAATCTGTTGAATTTTTAAAAAAGCTTTAGCAGGTCAGTATTTTTTTTAACTTAGTTTCAATTTTTTTTTTTTTTTAGAGTATAGAACCTTGTCTTATATATATAAACTATTCAGTAGTAAAGAAAAAATAAGATGCTGATCAGAAAATGAAGAGTGAAAGGGAGCATTAGTGTGGAATACTTAGAGGAAAAGCTTACATTAAATAGGAAGCTTTGCTTGGAGACCGTTTAGATCATGTGTCTTTTGAATAAAAGAGAAAACTATTGAGGTTAAAAAGAATACATAGAACCTAGTTAATTTCTATATAACTGATATAAGTAGATTGCCATAAAAAGGTAATGTACAGTGAAAAACCTGTGTTCTAAGAGAATCCCAGTAAACTTTAGGGTAGGAGGTATCTGATTTATAGGTAGGTGGCTGCCTACCAGGTATTTTGATAACTACTGAGAAGGGCCCATAGATGCCCTTTTTTTTTTTTGTTTTGAGACAGAGTCTCACTCTGTTGCCTGAGCTAGGGTGCCATGGTGTCAGGCTAGCTCACAGCAACCTCAAACTCCTGGGCTCAAGCAATCCT